AGAGGGGGGGCATGAAAGGCATCTGGGAGAACTTATTGTGAAAATATTTAGAGCCTAGCCTGTTCTAGTAATGTAAAGTGGAGTCATGTTCATTCACCTCCAGGATGTACATGCAAGATTAGGCCATAAAACCTTCAACACTGCACAAAAGGAGCCTTCACCAGAATTATGCCACAGCATAAAAAGCACAGCAGCATGGTGCAAGTGGCCCATGAGCTGTACTTCACAGGCTCTTCACCAGCAACGTCAGAAATTTTCCCCAGAAATGAAGAAATACCTGCACACCTGGCTCCTGTGGCAAGAAATCAGTGCCAAAGGAACACTGCCAGATGAGACATTTAACAGTGTCTTCCAGTATCTGATATCCCAAAGGAGATACTAAATATGACCCTAGTCTCTGCTAGATTCACAAATGAGTCTGAGAAACACAAACTTTTATCTCCCATATGTTATAATACTAGAAAACAGTCACATCAAATTTTCAAAGCACTCTAATGTTGTCCACGTTTTGTTGAAAATACTTTATTAATTCAGAAAGTGTTTGTACTCCCTGCCCAAGAGAGTGCTGAATAATCACTGCCCTGGACTCTATTTGACAAGGCCCAGCTGGGTGTGTGACTGCATTCTGAGGAGTCAGTAATTGAGGGCAGTTTTATCAACAAACAGAGCTGGTAGCCACAAATACTTGGGCAAGGAGCCAGAGTTACTGCCACACTGTGCACCACTGTCATGGTGGCACAAGAGAAGGCAATATGGCAATATGCTCCTTCCTCCACACCTACGGTTCTGCAAAGACTTACAGCCTGCTGCTACCAACTGCAAAACTGACCCAAGGGCAGACCCGTTTCCTCAGGGTGCTCAGGTTAAACCATTGGGTCCTATTTAATCTGTTAGAACCATCAGTGCACCGGTAGCAGAATGGAACCTGAAAATCCTACCAGATTGGGCTGCAATAACTGGTAAACCTGGTATTTCCAGCCTGCAGTCAAAACAAACATGAGAATAAAAATTCAGCCCTTTTTACTTTTTTTTTTTTTCCTTCTTTTTTTTTTTAAGCAGCAGTCAAAAGGCCTCTTGAAGCCTTGTTTATAAGCAAACCAGTCTCAAAGGCTGGATTTGCATTGGCAGGGTTTGAGGCTTGCAAAATAAACCTTTCTAGGTAGTGTTTTCCTTCTGCCTATAAGGGAGGAATAGTTTCCAGTGTAATTCCTCCCAGACTACATCCCTTTCAAGCTGCACTGAAGAAAATGCCTAATTCAACACAGCTGGGCTCGCCAAGCTTCCCTGGGAGCCCCCACGCTCTGGGCACGCACCTGCAACCCTTCCTTTAGGAAGGCCATGAATGGTACCGCACAGTCTGGCAGCCTAGTGACAGGGGGAAATCACTACTGCCATTCAAAACCAGGAGAATGTACAGAAGCTCTTACTTAGCTGCAATTTCTTTGGCAGAAATCATTCTATTTGGGTGATACTGTATGTTCCAGTACAGTGGATACCACAAAATATCTTTTTAAAAAGGACGCTTCTTTAACCAACACGAAGGTTCCAAACTGAGTGACAAGTTACAATTTGAAACAAATTCTATGATTAAGTAATAAAGCTCCTAGAAAAATGGTTTTCAATTACCTACAGATTTTTTTTCTGCTGTCCTGTGTTCTTCATTCTCCAAGGATCTTTGTGCCACTAATGTTTTGCATATAATGGTGATTAAGTGAACCAGACCACCGCTTGTGCTCAACTTGTACTCCACCCATAACTGGCTATTCTAATAAAGGGCCTCTGGTAAGAAAACTGCACTTTGGCTTCTGAAAATTATTATTGTAATAGGAAAGCCAGAAAAATTATAAAGCATCTGTTGAAATTTCAACTGTGAGGATAGTGACTTTCCATGCTTTTTAAAACTTCGTTCTTTCAACACTCCTAGTGAACGCAGCAAAAGTATTTACTCCATTACAATTCATGAACTTTAAGGTTCTAAACTCTTTGCATTTCAGCCAAGCTTCATGCACCAGAAAGAAATGACATGATTATTTCTTAATTAATGTTCGGGATCTTAATTTGCAAGAACGATTTCAAAGATGCAATGAAATGAACATGAACTTCTTGTAAAAGACATCCCTGAAACTTCCTCTGGTAGATGCAAACATTTGGAAAAAAAAACTTGACATCTTGTAATAGGTAACTTCAAAGGCACTTCTTCCAGTCCTGCGCCCAGTCCTTCCGCATGGGTGGAGCACACATCCTCCTCTCGGGAGCTGGCTGCCAAGACCTGTCCTGCTCCCTCATTTTATGACCCTAAATGTGTCATGGAAGATCACATGGTCAAAAGACACCTAAATGATTCCGCTGCATTGACTTGAGCATGGGAGAATCCACTCTAAATGGCATCCCATCACGTGGCGGGTGTACATGTGTGACACAACAGGAAGCACAAGCAGTTTACAGCACGGGACCGACCGCAGGCAGCCCCTTGCTCAGATGAGATACTGGCAGCTGCACTCCTCTCGGGAGCTGGCTGCCAAGACCTGTCCTGCTCCCTCATTTTATGACCCTAAATGTGTCATGGAAGATCACATGGTCAAAAGACACCTAAATGATTCCGCTGCATTGACTTGAGCATGGGAGAATCCACTCTAAATGGCATCCCATCACGTGGCGGGTGTATGTGTGACACGACAGGAAGCACAAGCAGTTTACAGCACGGGACCCACTGCAGGCAGCCCCTTGCTCAGATGAGATGCTGGCAGCTGCATTTTTGCTGTGTCCTGAGAACGTGCAAAGATGGGACTGATTTGCAGAAAGTCCATCTGACCTGCAGACCCCCTTCCTGGCCCATGTCTCACCTGGTTGGGCAATCCTCCTTTACGCTGTTCTGCACGTGAAATGGCAACTTTCGCCCAGGAAGCTGACACCTTGCACATGGCTTGCTTTTCAAGCACCATTTGGACACACAAGGTGCTATGACATACTTCAGGTGCAGAAGTAACAACGAGCATAATGCTCAGAAGGTAACTGAAACTACAGCACGTATCTAAAAGGAGAAAGGGTTCTTCATCTTGAAGAAATCATCACCCGTAAATCCTGACAAGTGCCTGAAAACAATCTCTATCCCTTCACTTACCTCACAAAATGCAATTTGCAGCCCCACTGACACACTCTTAAAAGTCTCCTTCTGAGCCTTTCAAAGAATAAAGCTTTGGAAGTTTCTCAGCTCCCTTTTCAAAAATTTTTACAGACTCATGCACCATCACATTCTATGATGGTTCAATATCTGACACTGCACTGAGGGGAAATAAAGCTATTAATTAAATGTCACAATATGCAGACTTGAAGAGCCATAATCAAAACAAAGATACATGAGATATTTGGGAACTGTCTGAGCTATCAATGGGATCAGTGACTCGGCAGAAGGTAATGAGAATTTTCTGTCCTGTATCAATACTCCAGATAAAATGTGGTGGGGAAATGAAACAATCACACACAGCTAATGATCACACACACACACAGGTGTTACCTGCAGTTCTGCTCAGTGCTATCCTTCAGAACTCACAGCTGAGCAACGGCAAGTCATCTTACAATGAGCCAAGATAGAAAGAAAATTTATCTACTCTCTGTTCAAGTCCACACAGTCAGATCACTTAGATGTGTTTCAAATAACAGTCTCTATTTTTCTCTATTCCTGATGTTTATTTTTCTCTTCCAGCCTCCTACTGACATGGCATGTCTCACTAGAAGCACCTGACAATTTCCAGTGCTCTCATTCACCGCTGCATGCTGCTTGAGCACTTCTTCCATTCACCTTTTTTTTCCCCTTACACCCTTCTGCAATTGGCTCAAAAGACTGCATTATCAAGCCTAAAGTTCACTGATCATTGACTGCTTAAGGCTTAATTACTGTGCAAAAACCCGAGCAAACACCAAGCCTTTTAAATGTCAGGCAAACAGTATCAGCACTTTCCTCCCCACCCCTCGCACCAAGGATGTTAATGTTCTCACCCTAAAAAAGAGCAAATTGGTATCTCTTCCTATCCAGAGGACAGGAAGCTTAGAGCTGCAGAGATCCTACGACTTGCACACTTCCAATTGGTTAAAAGCTTCTGTAAAGGCCTATTAACTTTTTACAAAGAGAAAAAAAACAAACGTGGAAGTTTTTACAGCCAAACCTGGCCAATCCATACTTAGTTCTGTAATGTGCAGCCTCACGTGATGGTATCAAAAAGCTTTAATTATCTGCCATGTTACCACATACTATTATTATACGATGAGCAACTGACCTATCAATCCAAACAAAAGAGATCCCAGGAGGGCTGAACCTATTCCAGCTGTAGGAGGCTGGGAAGCAAGGGCTACGGCAGCACGCTGAAATATCTTTTAGCTCCTCAGAAGCTAAGAATTTTCACAGAGAAATCCTGAAGTACTCTATAGAATAGTTCAAAAAATTATACAAACGCTGTGAGCTGCCACCAGTATTTTAAAGTAAAAAAAAGGAACAAATATGGCACTTAGCATCTGGCATCTAAGTGTTCTGAGGTGCCTTATAAGCACTAGCAATAGTACCAGATCTACCGAATACATTTGAGGCCCTGCCTGTGTTAAACAGAAACCTCATCTTAACTGCTTCCCATTTCTAATTCCCATATAACAAGTTTTACAGTAACAACATGATTAGGGTAGGAAGAAATCTGAATTTGTTACAACACCGAAAATGGAACAGGATGAAGCCACCATATTTTTCAACGAGAAAGGCACCTGATCCATCCTCTTCAATAGTTTACTACTCTATGTACACACATAATTACATATTTTGTTTTCCCCTGAAGCTGTTGAATGATGAAGACATCAACGTGTAAGTACTCTTAACAGCCACCACAAGCAGCTTATATTTTCACTGAAAAGTCAGTATCAGACAGCAGTCTTACTTATCAGATACAATAAAGATATTCCTGGTTCAGTGGCTCTGTTTGTACCAAACACAGAAAAGGAGGAAACGCTGTACTCACTTGTTAAAAAGGTTCAGTCCAATCCTATAATGGCGTTTCCTGATAACATCGTTACTGAAGGCAGGGGAATCCCAGCTGTTGCGAGTTTCTTTGTGGTATGTTTGTTTGCTCAAGGTTTGCTCCCTTAGGCTGTCTCTAGAAGAGGATTCTGAGCTGCAATTTATTGTATCATTAGAGTTGGAAGTGCTGTTGATGCTGTCATTGTCTCCATCAGAGTAATCAGACTCTGATTTGCTTTGCCTGTTTGCCGTGCCGTTGATGGCTAAATGACTATCTATAGGCCTAGCCCGATGTCTGGCCTCCTGCTCCTCTCGGGATATAATCTTGGCAGGAATACTGTGCGGGATGTGTTTTGGGCTTCCTTGTTGACTCGTGATCCCTCGGTCATAGGCATTTTGTCTCTTTAATGACCCTCTCTCGGAGCGGTCACTCAAGTCCACCGAACTGTCACTGGGTGGCTCTATAGTGAGCAAAGGTAGATGATCCATTCTCATCCTCTGCTCCTGACATTCCAGTGAGGGGGTACTCCTGCAGCTGGTATCAGTGTCCAGCTTATCGTCCTTGTGGGTCATGGACCAGTACTCTTGAGAAGAGTTCACAGACCGGAGCCTCAGATCAGACTCTGTGCTGGACGGTCTGTCTACTGACTGGGAAAGCGGGAGGGGTGGAGATAACTCTTCCTCATCGATATATAACGTAACGTCACTGTATGAGGCTGTCATCTCATCAAGCTTTCTGTGATCCACGTTGTGAATTGCTGGTTTAGTTTGAGCACAACTATCCCTTTCCATTTCACGACTTCTGACTTGATCTGGAGTCTGGACTTCATCAGAATGTAGACTCCGGCAATTCAGTGCGTCATCAATGGACTCTGCGAGGGATTTCACCTGCCTGGAAAAAGCATCCTCCAGTTCCGTTATAGCATCAGCAAAATCCGTAGATGCTGCTGGAGACTTCATTGTAGCTGACTCTCCGAGCTCATCACATTCAGACTGTACCAGGGATCCCAGCTTTGACCCATCGTTTGTAACAGAAACCTGTTTTCCTTCAAAGTAAGAGCTGTGGACTTTCTCAGGTCCTTCAAAGGAAAACTGCATTCTCATATTGGACAGTACAATGCGCCTTGACATACGATTTTCAGACATAGAACTTCTGAGACGCTCAAAATTTTTGTTCATCTGATACTGGCGAAAAGCTGTTTGTATGGTACGAGCAGCATGTCGAGTTATGAGACGGCCTCCATATTTGCGTTCTAGCATTTCCACCTGGGAAAGGGGAACACAATTACTTTGGGACTCGATGCAGGTTACGAGGTTAAAGTATACAGATATATATATATATAAATAAATAAACCACAATTACTTTGGGACTCGATGCAGGTTACCAGGTTAAAGTATACAGATATATATAAAAAAATAAATAAACAAATAAATCTTTTAACAACTTTAATCTTCTGAAGTTTTTCAAAGTGTATACTGTTTTTGAAAATAAAACCTCAAAGCTCCAGATTAACAAACTGCACAAATAGTCACTTGCAAGTTCCATCATAAAAATCCAGCCTAAATGCCTATGTGAATGCTGCCGTGTGAAACTGAGGTGTTAGCAACCCGTGTGTGCGTTGAACTTTTGATTTTCACACAGTGGCACTGGCAGGCCCGTGTCAAAGCAGACAAGACAGCAATCTAATGCAGCATGATGCAGTCATTCTTTCTCTGTAGGGACCACTGTAGAGAAGTGAAACCCACGTATACTGCAAATTGCCATACTTTGGGAGTAAAATCTAAAAGTAGCCATCACCCATCCCAAAGGCATGCATTGTTTTCTACGGGAATAAAACCCAGCATGGTTTCACCCAGGCCTGACATCAAAGCAAAACTGAGGTCCTAGATGGTAGGCTTCCAGAGAGGCTTCTCTGATAGAATACCCACATCCCCAGTCTTCGTCAAACCAAGAACATATTTCAGACTTTCTAAATACAAATTCAAATCTATTTTCATTCATGTAATTACACTCAATGTTGCCAGTGCTTCCAATTAACAGAATGAATAGGCAAAATAAATACATTTCTCATACATGATACATGCTATCAATTCAACCTAGTCAAAATGACATGTCAATACTTTTGGAATACTCATTAGATGTCTTCAAACTTTTCTTTCCAAAACATGAAAAGCATTGCTTATTTAAAAAACACTGAACAAGATGAATTGCTAGTCTTATTTCAATTTTTTTTCCCAATATTTAATTTCTGTTCTGATCAGTCTTTGCTGGATCCATATTATTCGCAAACACAAAACATCCCTCCACCACTACAATTAAACGCACCATTCTTCTGGCAGCATTTTTGTGTAAGTCCATGCAATTTTCATAATACACAAATGATCCAGAAGTATTTCTCCTCACAAATCGAGGCACGTGCACACACAATCTCTCCCCCTCAGACTTTGGCAATCTCTCCAAGTAATTGCTCAATTCAGCTATTGATGTGCAGAGGGGGCTTCTCCCTGCTTCTAGGGAAGGAACTAAATGCTACTAAAAATATTTTCTAGTCTACCATTTGGGAGTAGTTGACATATTTCTTTCAGTGCTATTGTCTTGTTCAGCAGTTCCCATTCCTCTTCCACATTAAAGATGATCTTTTTGACTCCATGTTTTTAAATGTGAATTATTATTTTTTTTTTTTAATTCTAGATGCAAAAATATCATGCACAGTTACTGCCATAACTGAAGAGGCCAACTTCTCAGATGGGCTCAGGTCCAGATTACTGCTAAGAAATTGTTCTTTTGACTGTATCTTGAAACTTCTTTTAACTAAGCTCAAAAAGCTGTGCCTGATTTCTGAGCTAGGAACCTAAATCTCTGCACAATCTTCTACAGTTTGTCTTTAAAAAATTGTTTAGCCTTTCATCTTCGTGTTTGGACACATCAAAGAGGCTATGAGGTTACTCATAAGACATTCTGAAGATTAAAAAAACTATTAAGAACTTCTATCACAACCCTGTCACTCCTGCTACACATTTACTACTATTTCTATCTGTAATACACATTAGGTTACATGTGTTTAAATAAATTGTAAGAGATCATTTTGCTGAATTCATCTCAAAATAAATGACGATTTGTTAATATAGCTGTCCTCTCCAAATACCAAACCTAAAGACAGGAAAACTGGCACAGCTGGTGTGAAATAATAAAAGAAAACCTAATATTCTATAAAATGAATTATCTGGACTTTAATCCTGCAAACACGCTGTTGTCCTTCAGGTTTACACAGAAAATGACAACATCATTTATTACCATAAATTAGGGGGGTTTGGTGGGAATTTTAATTGAGAGTATTTTAGAATTTGCCTAGATAATTTACTAGACTTGTGACTAATATTTCTAATAATTTTTAATGCATATTTAATGCATCTTTTGAATGCATATTTAATGCACTTTGCCAGTAAGTAAAGCATGGAAATTTTCCCAAATATTTTTAAAGTATTTTCTGATATTTCACTGAGAGTTTTTCAAGCGCAGGAAGCAAATCTTCAGTATGAAGCTTCCTTTATATATCATTGACACTTTTTATTGTGTAGGAGTCCCTGAACAAATACAAAATAACATCTGCAGTCCTCATTCCCTATCAAACTGGCATAAAAGGACAGATGGAATTAGGCTCCGTGGAATACCTGCAGTGCAGGAGACCTCTTTAGTAAGCCTAATACTCTATATCAATCCCTTATGAGACATCAAGCAAAAACGACTGCCAAAGGTGGAAAAGGAAGTAACATTTTAGATCTCACAAGGAGGTTGAATTTAATAGCAGAGCTGGCACAATTAAGACCAACAATCAGGAATGTGGCATGTTCCCACTCCAATACAGAATACGGTGAGCGTGAGGGCTAAACTACACTCATACTTGCTATCCCAAAATTTGGATTCAACTTTAAGTCAGAGCTCCAGCTCTGCTCATCCCGGTCTCTCCGGAACAACATTGCATGATTCTCCAACCTGAAATTTCAGAACAACAAACAGATGGCACATGAGACTTAGCCCCTATAAATTTCACCAACTATCACTGTGTGGTCCAAAATCAGGACTAGTTTGCTTCCTGTCTGTGGAATTTTACCTGCTTCCACTTTTTCTGTCTTAACATCCAAGCTGGAGGGACGATGCCATGTACCACAGTGATTCCCAGTAAACAAAATATTCTGTGGCAAGAATGACCTCTTAACAAAAAAACCCCAAACAATCAACTAGAAATCATTGATGCATTGGCTACTCTTCACCTATCCAAAAAAATCCAGTGAAATCCAGTGCATCCTGCATATTTGCTTACCTTAAGCTATTACAGCATCATTTTCAAATGACAAATATGAACTTACAGAGCAATAAACATCTTTTGAATACGACTACATTCCTAAGAATCAAACTTAAAAGGACTGGCTAAGGCTGACTGTCTTACAGAAGTGCCTCTTTAGAGCCACAGGCTTTGAACACCTCCATCCAGCTCTTTGTAAAGCATACAGGAGTTTTACCTATTTGAGTAAAAACCAATTATTACCTTGAATTCACCCCACAGGTATGACAGAATATCAGTTGCAATAAGTTCTTCCTTTCTTTCAGCAACAGCAAAGATATCCAGGTTTCAAAATGTCTAGCTTTCTTAGAAACATATTTTGCATTGTTATATCCTAGCACTTGTCCTAAGCATGAAATCACAATTCCCAATAGAACCGTTTTTACTTTAACACATCTTTTAGGTGTTTCTTCAGGATGGGGGAAGGGGTGTGGGACACAGGGACAACACAACACAGAAAAAAAAAAAAGTCAAACCCCTCAGAATTGCTGATGTATGACTATTTTCAACTAAGGAGGTCTCAGGAAATAAGTGTCTTTTCAGCATCACAACCGAAGCGATGCCAGAAAAGGTTCTTCCCAGCTTACAGACAGGTTGCCGTTGTCATGAACAAGGTAACAAAGCTCAAATACCTGTTTATCTTGTAGGTCTGAAGAGAGTTCATAGCTCTCAGAAAGTGATCTTGACCTTTTAATAGCTTCTTCCTCTGCTTGCTTTCGCAGGATGGATGTGGAGTGCTGCAGTTTGGGCCTGCGAGATCTCTGCTGTCCAGGGGAGACAGAATAGAGCCCGTATGGGGAATGGTCGTAATGGTCTGGGCTGATGGCGGAGCTGTGCGTTATAGGCCCTTGGTGGTAAGCAGAGGGGCTGTCCAGAGACGTGCCAGTTTCACTGCTGGGAGCTTCCCCCTCAACACTAGATAGAATGAAAAAGAGAGAAAAACCATCAGGTGAGCGTTGTGTACCAAAATTCTCAGCAACAAATAGCACAGTATCATTTTATGTACATCCAGCACATTCTGTTCAAATTCAGACGCAGTTAGTGCAAGGGAACGTGGCTTTCGTGTCAAACACCATGGTTTCTGCTGTAACCTAAGCCAGCCTCTATTTCTGTTGCAGAGTCATCTTTAGAGCATGAGTCAAGCAAGAGAATGGAGATTTCAAGCATTATTTAACTTTATGCAGTAATTACTAATAACATCCTGAGTAAGTCACTCAGCAACTACTGTGTGAAATAAAACTTTTAATTTCTCTGAGGACTGCTCATTTCCAAGTCGTTCTACTTCAAAATGACAGATGCTTATTTGTATATTTCCTAGATTTGACAAATGAAAGCAATACTTTCTTACTCTTATATTACAGTTTGACATAAAAGGATTACTTTCATGTTACTCAAAGGAGATTTGGGATTTAATGGATCTGGTGAGCTACCGTGTTTCTAGAAACTGAAGTTGGGATTGCTCCCAAGGGATACTTTTGGCATGCTCTGTAGTAAGGAATCCCAAGGGATGGTGTTTCTAGCTAATGAAAGCAAAATAGTATCAGGTAGGGAAAACACAGCTATCTGGCAAATAAAACACTTTGTTTTCACATGAATACTGTTTTTGCTAAGGAATAAAGGAAAGAAAAAAACTTTAAAGAGTTGTACACAATAGGAAACATTTTAAAACTGAGTCCTAGTCAAGGTTTATCCTGAAGTACTGATGTCAAATAGCAATTTATATTTGTTTTCTATTTACAATAGGGCATTCTCACATTGCAATAGCATATGCACTTTCACTCTTCCACAGTATGTCTTTTTCATGTTTCACATAAATATTTACTGTCTGCCTCAGCGAGTGTACACAGAGCACCGATAGAAAAAAGAGATTTTACTTTTTTTTTTTTACTCACTCAAAAACCTTAGCAAATACTCCCCCCCCCCCATGAATATAAGCATTTGCAGCACTTCCCCTACCTTTTGCTTTAGGAACAAGTACATCCAAACTCTAAATAAGTAAATTCCATGTTTCCACCACGCCCTGTATTTCTTATTTTGCTTTCCTTCACGTGTCCATGAACATAAAAAAATCAAGGCCCCCTGCTGTCCCTCAGCACTGAAATGCTGTGAGCCTTGCTGCACACACACACCGCAGCAGTCCCTTCAACAGTTCAAAGTACAGAGCGGTTTCTGAAAGAACGCTCTCCCCCGGCCTGCAGTGCCAGAAGACATCAAGGTTAACGCTGGCAGAACTCTCCTAGCTTGAACACTGTGTACTTTTGAAAGTGAAGGAGAAAAAAAAAAGCCCCTTAGATTTCTCAAAACGCTTCTATAAATACATAAAACTGAAAGCAAGTCCTCTTTCTTTGCCCATCAAAATATGACTCTACCCAAAAGGTATTTTCAAACATACTTAAACCCAGGCTGGAAATATTTTCAGTGTGCACACATTACTTTTTCCAAAAAGGAAGTTGACAGGAAACTAATCCCTTTCCCTCTGTGATACAGCTGGCTTTCAACTTAAAAATGATAAATTATCCAGAGTTTTGCTTCTGACATTGAAACTGTGTAACCACCCATTAAAAACAAACAAATCATTCTCTTTAAAGTATGCATTAAAGAAATTAGTATGATAACGAACTGCTTCACATTCTCTCTTTAAATACTACAATATGTTCCTCTGTTCTGCTAACTGTGAGGCCATGCTATTTTCTACATCATGCATTCCTAATTACAAGCTTGTTTGTAAATACTTTTCATACAAATATGGTAAGTTTGTTTTTAACAGGAAGTCAGGAATTATCACTATTTCCCCCTTCTTAGGTTCTGTGACCTTTTTTTGCCTTCCTTGCCCTTAATTTGTGAACTATTTAATAACCCTTCCACATTGATTATAATCTCATGCTGACATTTAAATAATGATATCTTCAATGGATGACTTCACCTTTTCGCCAACAAAAAGGGTACTGCCCTAACCAGAAAAAATTGGAAGGGGGCCTGCCTGAGGCTCTGATGAAAGTTAAGGGTTTCTTCTTTATTTTTAGTTTGTCTTTCATACTTTTTCCAGCCATAAATATGGTCCTTGACGGACTGCAATGCTTGATTTCATTTTGCTCGTAGGCCTGTTCCCTGCCATCGCATCTGACCTTTGAAGCAGGGAAGTAATTATCTTTTCTAACAGGCAGCCTCCTGCACAGCCCTACGACAGCCCTTGGAAGCAAACAAGCACACACCGTCAGCGCTGGGTATTTGAAGGCTCTCTCCCATTCAGCTCCGCCTTGTCCTTTAGGTGAAGAGCAGCTGAAGCTTCATATGGGTTATTTCATAAAAATGAAACTACACTGACAAAGACAAGCAGCTTGCTTTCTACTTCTTACCGCTTTTACCTACGTTTGGAAAAGATAAATATTTCAACAAACATGACCTGTGTGAAGCTTTAGGGATGACAAGACGTATTGCTCCGCTACGGAGGAAGCGCACACTGAGCGCCGTGGGACAGGAACGTGGAGCTGAGCCCCATCCTGCCTGCATCTATTTTGAAAGACCGTATGCTAAAATGGGTACCGTCGCTTCAAAGCAGACTCGGAACACAAGCCGGTCACTGCAGGGTTACAAGGACAGTTTTTATCTACCTACTTATTAAAAACACCAACACCCAGAAATATCAAGGATTCTGCTCCGGGCTTGCAACAAGAATTGGAGTAAGTCCCCCTGTGATTAGGGAAGTAGTCAGACACCCCTCTAGCACTACTTCACTTCCAGTAGCCTCCCTGCACACACTGTCCTTCTCAGATGGGGGAGAAACTAAGTACATTAAGTACACTGCAAAAATATACACTATAACCCTTCACCCAGTCCCAACTGGAATTAGAAATAATTTCTTAATAAAGGCCTCTGATATGAGGAATCTGCCACCTACTATACGCATCCAGTAGAACTACTGATAATTTCAGTGATTAAAAAAAGTCTAGCGGATGAATTTGGTTCATCTCCCTGCAATGTGCAACAGCATATTACTTGGGAGACCAGAAATATGTTGAGCATTCCAACTGTGTAACATTAGAATACAAAACAGTTGAAATTAACCTTTCATTTTTAGAACTTGGATGGTTTTATCATACTCTTGTTTCAGTAGAAAATAGACATTCATTATCTGCCAAGCCAGAAAAGGAGAAAGGTTGCTTGGCAGTATTTTACAAAGCAGCAGAGAATGGAGCAGCTAAAGAGTGAAATCAAATATTTAAAAAAAAAAAAAAATAGTACTATTAATATGACTTTGCATGAACAAAAATTTAAAACAGAGCCATGAAAAAACTTTGTTTCTTTATACATCTAAATTACTTTTTTGAAAGAGCAGCCAGCACTGACTGAATCAGTATTTATCAGAAACTGACACTAGAAGTTTCTTCCTGCATAAACCTCAACTTGTAATAATGTTAAAAAAACCCCAAACCCCACTGTATCAAGGAACAATCAGGAACAAGAAAGGCTTGCAGAAAAATGGGAACAGACTGAGTACAGTATTTTTAACATCTCAATGGATATGTAAAACTATTGGTGGAAATCAGATTAATTTTATGTTTTATAATGATTATAAATCAGTATTAAATACCAAACATAGACGGATTCAGGCATTTTCCTTTCCTTTCCAGAGTTCCTGCAGGAGCTAAGCCACGCGCTCTGCAAATGCTTTTAAATTCCAACCCATGAACTGAAGTGACATATGTGGATGGGAGTGGGATCTGTTGGCTCCGTCAGCGGGGCAGGGAGGTGAGGGTCATCCCCGCAGCGCAGCCAACGCCGCCGTTACCCGTGGTGCACACTGAGCACCAACAGCCACAGAATCAAAGCGCGCCGCTCTCTCTGAACCAAAGACTAAGACCAACGTGCAGGCAGCGGCTGCCAAAAGCTGCTTTTCTAACTCATTTGCCTGAATGTCAAAGCTGAGTAACACGGTGCACGGCTGGATCTTTACACTGAAATAGCATTCAGTAGACCCAGGCTGACAAAATGTGAAGGGGATATTGTGCTAGCTAGAAAAAGGTCATATTCTTTTTACAGTTATTTCCCACTATTCAGGTGATAAGTTCATTTCAAGAATTACCTAACAAGTAAAAAGCTCTGTCTCCTCCTTCCCTCTGTGTAATGGCCAAACGTAGCTGTGTGGTTAGCCATCACCAAAACAAAACATTTCCTCTCCGGGCATTTTAGCACCAGAAACCTGGCAGGTCTTTTCTTCCCTGGCTCTCATTTTGTTCCTTCAGTTATTACTTCTGATCACAAAGGCTGTAATTAGTAACCAGTACACTAAAACCACTATCATATTTTAAAACAACATTATTATTCAGGATGTTTGAATATCTACTGTTATTCTTTGATTTATTTTTCATTTTTATATTCACACTTTCCTTTTCCTTCAACTTGTGCCACACTATTATCTTAGCAAAACCAAAAACAAGCACAATAAAAGACAAGATTTTGAAAAACAAGACAACTCCAACATATGATCTTAAAATGGAAACTGGAAAGAGTCCTCAAGACCTAAATTTCAGCACAGAGCAAAGCCCAAGGTTTTGCACAAGTGCAGATTTACTCATTCCACTCATCACTGGCACAATGATCAGAGAAGCTGCAGGTTTGGATCCACAGGCACAAGCATTTACATCTCAGAGAGACTATACTACGAGAGAGAGAGAGATGATAACCAGAAAAGCAGAAATTCCCTTTTTATTGAGGCCCAGTACCTTATCGTTAAAACTACATGCATGTCAAGAGGAAGTATATAACAATAACATCAGACGTAAGGAATTACTCAGTATTCCCACTAACCCCAGAAACTTTACAGTTTACAAGCAGTAAAGTGTCCCAGCGCATTTGTAGGACTAAAATACAAAGATAATGAGAACATATGCTTACAGAAATCATCCAAATGTTCA